TGATGAATCTGCATTGAAGGAACTGGCCATCCTTTGTCTCCATGCTTTGGCCTAAGGGCACGGCTCGCATACAGGAATCGCCTTTACTTTAAGCAAGACAGTTGATGACAAAAAATAAATGATATTTCCAACAATTAATACCACCTTGACTCTCCAACTAGCAGGGAAAAGCGGAAACCTAACATACTGTTGTTCTATACTGTAAAGGTTATTTACCTTGTCTTTGTTGCATATGCAAGTACGATGACGTCATTTTGCAAATAGTAAAGCTGACTGTTCACTCCAATGCCATTGCTTAGATAGAAGGGTTCTTCTGTTCCACGTTTTCCAAGCCAAACAAAGACATCCGAAGATAATTTTCGATTAAGGATGAAATCAACGTCGATCAGAATAATTGTTGAGCACTTCGGTCTCTCGCGATTCACCTCAACCAAAGCTCCTAAAAAGGAACAACAAACTGCATTGCAATGGACTCGCCTAAGCTCATTGATCACACAATACAACACCGTTTGAAGGTGGAAATGGGGTGCTATGGAGAAACTTTTTCCAAGCACCGTATGTGGCAAAAGGAACAATAGCGTAATTTTCAAGCATTCTTTTAACATTTTACTGAAATGTAATAGGCTAGAATTGGAGTTATTTTTGTTAATTTATCATAATTATTTTTCACAAAGACGCAAAAAGTAAGATTTCCAATGTCCACCAGGAGAGCTACAATTCCTATCACTGGCAAGATAGCCAAATTTCATCCAACCTAACATATCAATTAATTCGAATGCCTTTCCTTGTAAAACACTTTGAGATGTTTCGAAACACATCGATTGATCTAGAATTATTAAACAGCCATACCCGTTATGTATCAGAACAAGAAGACAGTTAAAATGTGCGTCAACATATGGTATGTGACTTTGTATGACGACTTATATAGCAATATATGCTAGGGTACATATTTAGCAGATAACAGAAACATAACATGATTTATATTTTTGTGAAAACAAATTATATATTGTGACGGAGTCACTGAGTGCCACGAAGACACGTGATGAAAACTAACTTAATTTTTAGAAACATTACGTATGCGGTTGTTTTGTTTAAGACTTCCTTTGTTTATTCCCTGCTGACATTGCTTTGTAATTATAATTCATGGTATGATTAGTATGCGTAGAAATTTCTGGAACGTTCGATGGTAATCTCGCAAGTATGATGTAATCACGGTAGGTATTTTTGTAAAGTTACGTAATAATAAGTAGGAGTATAAATAGAGGCTGTGTGCCCGTGAAGGGGGATTCTTTTCTTAGTGGTGGTTAGTGAGTAGAGTTGTAATGATTTTAGTGATTATTTCGGCGTGGTAAAAATTAAAAAGGTCTATTTCTTGCTTCGTGAACTGTTCATGTAGTTGTTGCGTTCGAAGCAATATTGAGTTCACGACAATATTTATAAATGAAATCTATGAAAGTAATTATGATTTCTAGTACGTCCTTTCATAGGTTATCGGCAAATAGCATTTTTTTGAGAAATGGTTGATTCGTTCGTAAAAAATAGACTCTTCCACTGCTGTTTGAATTTATACATGCGAACAAGAATCACTCGAATAAATGTGCTCCAAAAACGCTTAGCCAAATCAAATGCTTCCAATCAACTACTATGCCCGTCTACGTAATACAAATCAGAAATCTGCCTTCAGAAACAAATTATTACCTTTCCTTTTCAAAAACCCTCGCGCATATAAACAACTCTCACATGGAATTTTCCAAGGTCTTTTTGGACTCTGCGCAGGGGCCCGGAAAGTATGGCAAAAATCAGGCATGGGAAATGCATTGGATTGAAATGAAACTATATTTAGTTCTAGTAAAAACCTATCAATGGGACATATAAGGGGTGCATAATAAAACACAAATTTACGGAGATACCAACCATATTCTCGTAACAGTTTCACAAGTTCCTGAGCAGTGCAAATCTCATTCTCTTCAACGCTGGCAATAAAACTTGTCTTGCCTCTAATTTCGTCCATGGTCTGATTGAAAAATAAATTTCATCCTTGCAAGTTACATGCAATACTGGATATACGTATAAAGATATAGCTCAAAATAAAATGGGATTCTCAGCTAATTGTGTGCATATAATCAAGCATATAGCTCATTATAAATTAATTAAATTAGTGAACATGCCCTTTCGTGCAGAGTTCTTATCGAATTCTGAGAAAATCTCAAATGACATGATCCTGTAACAAACGCTTTAAAACCCCTTCCACATAGACGCTTACGTGAAAACAGAAAACCCTTGTTTCGTTTCCATTTAGATGAGAAAGCGAACTTTGCAAACGTACTCTAGTGTCTCTAATAGAAGGGGGAGGTAATGGAAGGGGGTGTTTATGTCGACCAGTTCTCAATAGAAGGGGGTTGCTAATAGAAGGGGGTGTTCATGTCGGCCAGTTTTTAATAGAAGGGGGTGCTAATAGAAGGGAGTGTTCATGTCGACCAGTTTTCAATAGAAGGGGGTGCTAATAGAAGGGGGTGTTCATGTCGACCAGTTTTCAATAGAAGGGGGTTGCTAATAGTAAGGGGTGTTCATGTCGGCCAGTTTTCAATAGAAAGGGGTTGCTAATAGAAGGGGGTGTTCATGTCGACCAGTTTTCAATAGAAGTGGGGTGCTAATAGTAAGGGGTGTTCATGTCGGCCAGTATTCAATAGAAAGGGGTTGCTAATAGAAGGGGGTGTTCATGTCGACCAGTTTTCAATAGAAGTGGGGTGCTAATAGTAAGGGGTGTTCATGTCGGCCAGTTTTCAATAGAAAGGGGTTGCTAATAGAAGGGGATGTTCATGTCGAACAATTTTCAATAGAAGAGGGGTGCTAATAGAAAGGGGTGTTCATGTCGGCCAGTTTTCAATAGAAGAGAGTTGCTAATAGAAGGGGATGTTCAGGTAGGCTAATTTTCAATAAAATGTCAGTAAACTTCAATGCCAAAGGGGAGCTAATAAAAGGAGTGGATGTTGGTAAATCTTTTAATTAAAAGGCAGTGGAATTATTAGGATGGTGACACTGGTTACTTGATAATGGATAGATTGTTAGAGATAAAGATAGACAAACAGAACAAGAAGAATTATTGACAAGTGAAAATTGCGTGTCCTGGTCATGACAGGTTTGTAAAATTTAATAGAAGGGCGGGTGCTAATAAGCGACAGAGCGGAGGGCAAATTCTTCTGAAGTCAATACAAGGGGGCCCTTCTATTAGAGACACTAGAGTATTTGTGAAGACGCTGCTACGTAATGGTAAGGGATATATCACGGAGATTAGGTTTACTGAGCAAGGTGTTCTTATAATCCAAGAGTCAATTATACAAAAATATACACATCTTACTGCGCAAAAGGAATCGTAATGTAATATGATACTACGTAATATTACTTACGCTGAAAATTTCAGATTTGGGAAATGAATAAGAAACAAAATTTCATTACGTTTGGTGAATTTGGTGAAAACAAATTTTCTATCACGGTGAGCTTATTTTTAAGCAAGTTTTCATATGGAAAATATCCAAACAAAATAATTTTTTATTCTATACAGGGGAACAAACAACAGACATGAAAAGTAGAAAATTCATCATTAATCAAATTAATGCAACTTGTTATATTGAGACATCCAAAGAATAATATGCACTTAGAAAATCTTCTAAATCATTGAAAGTAAAGTTAATGTAGCCCCCGTCTAGGGAAAACGACTTTCTAAGCAACATACATTAACTGCTATCTTACCGGTTGATATCATACGTAGGATACTGTAGACAACATACCTTGAGCCAATGGGAGAAGCAGGAAATGAAATGCTTAGCCTCTATCGTGTCGTCAGTCATGAACAGCACATTTCTGTACCGCTTAATCTGAAAATGGAAATCATATATGTTATGTGGAAATAAAATCATTACTGTCATCAACAGTGGGTGTATTTTCAAATAAGTTCACAAACTTCAAGCTATAACAAAAATTCAAGCTATAAGAATAGCTCACCAATCTGCAATATTCTTGTAACGAAGTATTTTCTAAAGACGTAGAGTATGCCACTGAATCAAATGTTGAAGTTGTTTCATCTGAAAAGCAATGATTAAAAAGTGTTGTCACCGTTAGGACAAAAGCTTTAGGACAATGAAAATTGCAAACGATTAATCAATTTATCGTTACGAAAATCAAACTAGACACCTCTAATCAGAGATAAACAATTATTGAGAATATTGTTAAGAATATATATGAACTTTATCAAATAAAGAAAACCAAAAGAGAGCATTTTTCGTGCAGTTATCAACTACAACGTAAAAGTGCATTAATAAAAAATCCTTTTATGTTTGACAATAACTTAAAAGCAGAAATTTAGGTGCATCTTTAGTCTAAAAAGAAAGGAAAGAGGATAGATTGACCAAGCTCTCAAAATAAGTTAAAATATGTTTAGGGATAACTCATATTCATTCTTAAAACAAGTGGTGCTCTCTCCTCGATTAGCCCAACTACTCAGAGAGTCCCTCCTCAAGGAATTCCCCTTCATACAATTTGATATGTAGGCTATTATTTCTCTGTTGTTTTTAGATTTGTGCTTAATTTGTGTTGTGTGTAGTATTGTATTAATGTAACTGATAAATTGTATGCAGTTGAATTTTTAAAATAGGAGACAGAAACTAAAAAATAAGAGTTGTCCTGAAAAGCAAGTTCGAAACTTTTTTAATATCTTCCTAATCATGTATTAACATTTCCAATGATACGGATCTAACTAGCCGGAGGTTTTAGCATATTTCTTTTAACTGTCCTTTCTGAATGTTGATGACACCATATCAAAAAAGGTAATGAATTTGAAAATGTAAGGAAACGTAGGTTAAATTTTTGTGGTATTCCAATTGCATACTCATTTGATGAATTACGTAGTCACTCTAACACTGGGATTTTTCTTCTAATAAAATCAGTACCATATCAATTTGTGGTTGACGTCAGTAAAAACTGGCGATGGACAAGAACAAATCTGGGGGATTTCTTCACTTTAATAAGAATTAGGAAGAACTTCTGGAACTAATTCGATGATTTAAGCCAATGAATTGTTTGATTTGATTTGACGGATGGAGGCTCCCTACAAGGACCGAAACTCGTGAACGTTTTCTAAAGCGAGTTGAGACTCTTGGAGGGGAAAAGAGGTTAACATGTTGCAACAGTACCTTTGAGACGAATGGTCAGGTAAGGTTTCGATCTATCTTGCCATGCTGCTGTCCAAGGCGTGATACCTGCAGGAAACCCTGTAGGCGTCCAGGCAACAGATCCTAGCTCAAATCGACTGACGCTTGACTGGAAAATCGCTGTAAACAGTGTAAAACGGAGAAAGGCTAAGAAACTGACAAAACACATCGCAAATTTCAAGGTAAACGCTAATGTTTATACAACTGCAAACGTTTAGGGCCTGAAATTACGGCATAATTAATTTGGCATAATCGTTGATATTGTCATAATCTACCGAGAATAAAATTGTCACGGTCGTGGAGCTATCTGAACTTTGATAAGCATCACAACACCAAGTGCTGTATTTTTACTTAACACCACTGTGGATTTGACAAAAAAGTCGAACTATCACATGTGAGCCCATTTGCAAAGAAAATCAATTCGGAAGTGACGTACCAGCATTACTCGTGCTCAGACCTCTAGACGCTCTCCAAGGAACCTTATCCAAGAAAATTCTTTTCACGGCCTCTGTAACGGAGATCCATTCACTTTCGTTTTGTAGCCGCAGTTCACCAATGAAGTCTAGAATACTATCAGACATGACCAAACCATCTGCTGAAATACAAAATACAGAAAAAAATATTACCAACTTGACAGATAAGACATGCAGCGAAGTTACAGAAGTTTAACCACATCTAGCTAGTAAAAGCAAACAAAGAAATCAATTCAAGGGTCCCACTGGAAAAAAACATCAGGCAAAGCAAAGACAAATCTGACATTGTCCAAAGAATCAAGCAAGACTTCCAATAGAATTCCTTGAAGATTTCCCTTGACAGTATTACACAGGCACTACATGACAAACTAAAGCAAATAAAGAATAATGTTTTATTTTGCATTCAGGCTTGTGGACGTTAATTTCCAAAATAATTTAAAAAATCCTAAAGGATCCTTTGCATAACAAGTGTTTATATCTAGCAAAAGAATTTATTGCTGCACCTATAACAGACTCTCACAAATGTTTAAAGTACTTTCAAAGGTCACTACCATACCATCAGAAAAGCCCCAGCCATAACCTGCGGCAACTGCGATGAGTAGAGTGCAGGAATCTAGAATTAAAAGCATCAAGTCAAAGTTTATAGAAAAATGGAAACAATACTTCAGTTCAGATTCTTGCAAATAATTAAGTTTTGTTTACCGATGTATGCTAAAGGCAACATACAGGTTTGAGGTCGCAGAAATTTACACTAGTGGCCAGGTACCGCGTAAAAGGCGTTCTTGAAAAGTCTCTGAAAACATTAGATGTCTCTGTAATTTTGACATTTGATGAGGTCATTATTTGAGGTCAGTAATTGTTTTTGACTGAGTGTCGTAATGAACCGGCAAGGAGAAAGATAGGAAAATTCTGCTTCAGCGTCTATCGCGCGCAGTTGTTGTTAAGGCTATGTACATACAACCGTAGAATTTTATCACCAAAATTTAAAAAAACATTTTACTCGCATCTTTTGTTAAAAATTAATTATATATAAATATATATATGAAATAATGAATTAGAAAATCTTTTTTGTCCACAGTGTGCATCATTCAAACAAAATGTAAACAAATACAGTCAAGATTACTGTATAGCAAATGTTTCTGATGGAAACCTTACCTACACTTATCACAATCTCAAAGAATACTTGTCACCCAGTTACGCGACAAAGTGCCTTTAAGACTTAAGACTGGAAGGTTAAGACTTAAAAAACAGACTGACATGACAGCAGATGCTAACAAGAGCAATATTTTCAATTCTATCACCATAACATTTGATCTAAACAGCCTCTCGTTTCTAAATAAACAAAACAAAATTTTCTTTATAAATACTAGGAAAATAAAACTAAGTTATATACCATATATGGTTTCTCCACCCACCCACAAAACAACGATGTTTGCCTTTGCAATTATCATCGGAAAGGTTATATCAGAACCGACACCTTCCTGTTGAGAGTTGCTGATACTAAAAGCAGAAGGGTGTTAAGGGCATTGGAGGTTCTCTACCCTTTATGTAGAGAAGAGTCATGTTTTGTCGTGTACCTTGTTTTGTTGAGACTTGGGGGTATCCCCCTTTGGTCACTACCATAAGATAAGCATTCGTAATATGAATAGTTCAGGTGTGCATGTTTAATTTCACTTTAGGACAGGACAAATAATCCTGTCAGCTGAAGGGGCGGGAGTGCACTTTTAAATATACCAATATGGGAAGAACCAATAACAAAGTTTGTCAATGTCTAATGTCTACTACTTATGGATGGCTCGGAAATTTTCACCCCACGTATGATTTGTTATCTTGCGTTTCCTTGGATAGCTCTTTGCTTTCTGAAAGAACACAAAATAGGGCGAAAAAGACCCTATCTCGCTTGATTATTTAATTTTGTTCTCTTGGCTGACAAAAGACAGTAGTTGAGTAACATATGAAAAGTTATTAGAATGCTACGCATTGCCCGCAACGCAGCAGCAAGAGATATCGAATTCTCTTCATTAAAAGATAACGTTCAGTTCAAATATGAGCAAGCAGCTATTTTGAAAAGCAAAAACAGAAGACAAGTCGAGGAGTAATATATCATGGCAAAATATGGTGCCCCTCCCCCAAAACGAAAACACCGTTAAGTTCATGCTTCATAGCCCGTTCCGCATAAAACTGCTTTCTAGCATGCCCTCAATGTTTGGATGAACCCATTTTGGAAAAAGACTTAAATGCTAGTCCCCATCTATAACGCAAATATCTTAGCGATAATTACTGCCCAACAACGAAGAAATAATTTGTTATTTGCTAAAACGTCCTTGTACGTATAACATATCACGAGGTCGTGCCATCGTGAATACTTCGATTTGTTGTTTCACATATATACTACAATTATATACAATTATATTCTTGGCCTAATTGGAAGTTATGCTTGAACCGTAACATAAATTATTCCCAGCGTCATGAGATAAACCTTGGGTCAACCCATTAATGCATGCCACCTAACGCATCCTTGGCCATTTAGCAATCTAAAATTTAAAAGCTAGGTCCACTGAAAATGCTTCACTAAAATATCCATAGCTAGATGATACAGTTGACTTATGACAATCCATAAATATTAACATGGAGGTTCTATATTCTGATTAAATAATGTAAATAATCTGATCTTACTTAAATTATATTTAATTTGTTTAAAGACACTGTCTCATTGAACTTTGAGCATACTCGCCTGGGCAGGTTTTTCTATACAATATCAATAGGTCTTGGTCTAGGAGCCTTAAATCTTGATGATCAGTCACCAAGGGAAGCGGTGGAAATTACAATAGGTATACGAGCCATTGACTCCTCGTGCTTGGAATTACAAAAAGGCATCGTTTCGTTTGGAAACACCAAGGAGACTACTGTGTTCAGAGTTTGCGTGAAGTCGCAATATCGCGGTACCTGCACATCGAGACACAGCACCCCCCGTGCATTTCGGAAACGGTACCCTTGTTTCCAGAAATATGAAACGAGGACATGTTGCACAACCACTGCTGACTGAACAATCACTTAGATACATTAGGGTGACGTCACAAACTTTCATAAATTCTAATGCTTGTTCAATAGCTGCCACGAAGGTTAGGAGCTCGCTCCCGCACTGTTCAACAGGATAATAAATACTGTGTCCACAAAAAATAGAATAATATAGTACATTACATATCAACGGTTTAACAAGTTTATCACCTAAGATCTAATATGGTAAACATGAACTTAAATGCGTTGTGTTTTATATGTCGGGTTTATGTGTCTAGT